GTAGCCAACGATCAACAATTGCACCGTCGCTCAGGTAGGCGTCGTTTCCCGTGACAGCGTCTCGCTTCGGTAGGGGGTAGTTTAGTCCGGGTCGTCGGGGGTGGGAGAGACCAGGCGTCATCAGAGAGGATCGAAGGGGTCGGCGCAGGCGCTTCAGCCCGACGACGGGCGTCGTGGCGAGGCACGCGTCAAACGTGGAGGCTTATAGGTTAAATCCTCCCGCTCCTCGTTTTTGTCGTTTTTCCGGCATTGCCTCCTGATCCCGCCTTCAAAAGTGCCGGCGGACCAATCGGCGTCGGGCGCTGCTTGCCCGCTGCCTCCGACGGCACGGCAAGCGCCACGACGACGTCGGCGGCGACGCCAACGTCATCCACGGGTAACAGCAACTCGCCCGACAGATCCCGGATAGGGATGCCGCAAACATCATACGCCAATCTAACATCAACGAAGGATCGTTCCGCTTACGCGTCAATCTCAAAGCGGAACGTCGATCGCAATAGCGCGTAAACGTTTACCCCCGGCTTGATCCTAATCGCGGTATCAAAACATCTTTTCTCACCTCACGTTCAACGTCACGTAATCGCGCCTCGTAATTTTCGGCTTTTTTTAGGATTGCCAAAGTGTTCCATTCGCTGATACCGGTGATTATTGGATTGGAGAACTGGACTATAGATCGAATCGGGTCGGGCGGTTAAAGAAGTTGGTGATAGAATAAAGAGGGTGAAAAATCAGTGATCAAAAGAAGTGACCTACGTTTTACAGTGTAGATTTTGAATCTTAAATTGCTCTGCGTGAGTCTGCATAATCTTTAAATGGCCATGAGCATATTAAAGCTTTACTTTGAAATCACGATTTTTAATAAAATCTGGATCAAGTTTCTCGTCACTAAGAAGAACGAAAAACTTTTTGGTAGAAATAAAAACTATATTAATAAGATGGTTACATTGCTAAAGAAGACTAAAAAAAATTACTGTTTAATTGATGTTTACTTTAGAAAAGAATGTTTATAAAAAATATTTGCAATCATCTTTTTTTAACTTAAGTATTAAAATCAGTTAAAAATCTTAGAAATAGGATTTTTTAAATTACAAAAATAAATACATTAAATTTATTGTGATATTTTTGTTAAAATTGCTTAAATTTAATCTTCATTGAAATTATGGACTAATTTCATAGATATTTCGTATTAAAACAAGTTAGTTTTGCTAGGTTGCAAGAGAAACATATTTAAACGGCGCGTTTATATATTTTATATTTTATATTGAAATCGTTAAGTCACGGTATAAAGAAGTTGTATAACGATTTTAGTGCGTTTGACATCTGATAACGAATGCTTGAGGAGGCACTATGAACGGGGCAGCGACAGTCACGGCCACTGAAGATCATCAACATCAGCAAACACAGAATGAAACGACTTCGGAACATCCACGGAGTCCCGCCAGTCCACTGAGTGCTAGACACGGTGAGGATAACACAAAAAGTATATTTAAATGTTAAAGATATAATAACAAGATTACATACATACGTATGAACATTTAATAAATTTTCAAAGCTTTTATATTGTGCATGGAAGTCAAATTAACTCAGGTTTATAACGTTTTAACCTCTAGATGGTACATTGATCTATAATTTCCATGCATACATTTCCGTGTTTTATTTATATTTGTTTATATTTGTCAATAATTAATATATGTACACGGAGCGTAATAAATGAACAGAAAAAAGGTGTATTTTAATTAATTGGATAATGTTTTTAAGGAAGGATAATAGTTTTTATTTAATTTTTAATGAATTATTAACGTTGAACAATTTATTATAATTTAAGATTTATTTATAGCATATGTCAAACACGCGTGTTAGCGTACATAACATTTTCATATGTATATGTAGCATATTGTACAGATATAAAACTCTTATGATTTTAACTACCAATATAAACATAATATTTAAGTATAATAAAAATTTTGCGATGATTAACTGAATTTATTATTAATTTGTTTAGCTCTTTATTGTTTATATATGTAAAGTATTAATATTATTATTTTTTGTTGCGTTTTTTTATTTAACCTTGATGATGGATATGGTGAGCTATGATATACGAAGCGTTATCATGCATGTCGAAAGGATTAAAAAGAAAGCATGTATTTGATAGGCGGAATACATAGATGTATGCGTTATAATATATCGTAACGCATCTTAACACTTTTAACACATGGAAACTAAAAATAAGGATAATTATCAATAAATGATAATAAAACAATAACATTGATTTATTTAGACAAGATCCAAAAAATGAAATGAAAAAGATTTGTTAGTCGGAAAAGAGGCAGTGATAAATATATATGTATACACATATATATTGCAATTTTTGCTATAAATGATTGAAGATGTTTAGATATATATTTCATACTCTAATTTTCTTAATGTTGTCGCGACATTTCTTTTACGGCATAATGTAATACATAATGTATTGCGTAATGTAATGCGTAAACTTGCTTCAAAGCACGATTCTTCTCCTTCCGCTCGCGTCGGGTCATCCAAGATTTGATTATTCTAATGGTATAATGGCGTTGCCTACGTGTTACCCTCTTTTTCCATTTATATCCCACCCCACGACTGTAACTCGTATAAAAGTCCATCGCGGGGGTGAATCTGTGTGCATTCTACCCATTGCTTCGCAATCCGTCGTTTCTTAGCGAAATGGTTCTCTTTGCCCATTTCACTAATCTTTTCACTAATTTTTTCTTCAATAATTATGATATTTTTCAGTTTATTACATTTTAAAAAACGTTGGTGTCGATTTAACACCTCTGGTTTTTGTGAATTAAAAACCTCTGGTATTTATATCAACATTCATGATGTGGATTTAACACCATGGGTATATAGATTTAAAATCCATGTGTTAAATCCACACTATGTTGGTGTTAATTTGACACCAACATGATGAGAATTATATAGACACTGTATGGTGTTAAGTTTACATCGCATTACATTTTTTACAGTGTATAAATTGTCAATGATCTAAAACATATATATGTATATAATATACATCTTCTTACTACAATTCTGGTTTTTTATCTCTGACATTAAATATCTTATCTAATCTAAAGTAAAATCTAAATAAACTTTATTTAAAGTATAATTAATTTTTATCTATTATATGTATATATAATGTGTGTGCGTGCGTGTATTTTGCTTCTATTGTTTCGTATTTTTGTATAATTAACACATTGGGTGCATTCAGTAGAACGCAACAGCTTTGCAATCATTTTATGATTATCTGCTGAACAGTCTTCTAAACGCACTCAACGTCTCAACGTGTTTACTCAGCGATTGCCATGATTTCCAGCAAATTGAAACTCAGCGTATACTTTAAGTACGCTGAATTTCAATCAAAACGTATTGAGCAAAATGGCTGTTTCCAATGTATCATTCTTTGAAGTACATAATATACATATGGCAATGTAATTTACAATGTGATACAGATATTTTTAATGCACATAAAAAATTTCTGCTGTCTATCACTGTCAATGGAAAATTAAAAATGTGTATAAATAATAGTTCAAATATTATTTTATAAGTAAAAAATATTTTCTGCATATCGTAAAAATTAGATTCTTTTATCACGCACGCAATAGTTAATATTATAAGAGCATTCAACAGAACACTCAATGTTACAACTTATCAGTTGAGCAACAGTTGCGTTCTGCTGAACACACCCAATATGTTTCTCTGTATAGTTGTAGTATTAACTTGTATTTATTTATTATTATATATATATAAATACTTGGTAAATAGCTATGTTAATATTACATTTGTCAACATCAAATATTATCGTTTCGGTAACTACTTTGTTAGCTTTGATAACAAATGAAAGATTTGTTCTTTCTTTCTGGCTTTTGGAAAATGAATACACATACACTTTTGCAACGTAGTTGTTTTTTTATTTTTTAATAAGGGCAATTATGTAATAACATTTATAAGTAACGTGTTTCTTTTAATAAAAATAGTAAAAGCGTAAGAAATGCTCACTATTATTGCATTCGCGATGCATTGTTGAAATTAGCAAAAATGTATCGAAAACGAGGAACAAATTTTTTTTATCTTTCTAACTAGTGCAATCCCTGGCCCCATTCACAATGACTCCCTCTAGCTTTTCCCGATGATCCTATAATACGAGGGCGCAGGTGGCGCCTTGCCATCCACCAGCATTGATATGCTAATGAAATTTGATGCCCCTGCTTTCGCGTGCGTTACTCTCGGCGCGGGTGGCTTACAGTGGGTGTGTATTTTATATTGGGCCATCATTTTTCTCCTTTCAGTTAACCCCGCGCGATCGACAGATTGCGCTGGAATGAGATTTGATTAGCTTAATGCCATAATTTGCAATAGCGTGTATGTGTATGTATGCGCGTTCTTAGATATATGTATATATTTTTTAAATATATATACATACTATATATAAAACTAATTTTAAAATGAAATATAATTTTACAATTGTCTATAATACTCTAGTTATGTAATGCTAAATATAAAAATATTAATCGATGATCGACTGTCACCGATTTATGAATGAAAAGATAGTTATCATAAATCGATTGTATCTCAACATCTTATTTACCGAAAAAAGGATCTTATCATCGAACAAATCCTTTATCTAAAGATTGAATCAGCACTTTGGAATATATTCTAGTAATCGGGATTAGGGGGTATGTTAACGAGATCGAAAAGCTCGTACGCTTATACAAAGTCACGTGAGTTAAATTACAATAAGATTAACATCGACCGTCTGACGTGATTTGATAATGATCAAAAACATTTCGACAGTCAGATTATTTGAGTAGCAAACGTGTTCGAAAATACTAATAAGGTTTGGGTTTTCAAGATGTTGAAAAGAAGAGAAATTTTGGTAGAGTATCTCTTTCTCTGACCGCAAAGTTACTGTATTTGATAGCTTCACAGGCACCCTACGGAAATCTTTGTTCCTCCTTTGCGTCCCCGAAGGCTTACCGATGGATTGCGAAGGCAAACAATATTTACATCGAGAAATGAGTTTGGAAAAAGCTCAGGAAGTAAGAGCGCTCGAATATAAATATTTATATCAAATGAATGAAGGGACCGGGACGATTCCTGTGTAACACGCGTAGGGCAACACGCGTCATCAACCTGCAGAATTACTTCAATCAAAATTTTCGGAACCTATCACAATTTTTTCTCCGTAAATATAGATATTTCTATAATGTAAACGAATATCAATTGGGAATATTTATTTAACTGCATCAAATACATTTTTCAAACATTTTCATTTGGCGTAAATAAATACTTAGATTGCTATGTCACAACATTTTGCTCTATTTTTATTCGCGTCTAATAGCACGTTCGTTTCAATTAAAGTTACTTTACAAAACGTAATTACAATCCTTGAAAATTTATAGCGAAGAATACGACGAGATAGTTGAATTGATGACTATGCGATAAGGAGGATTAAATGATTTAGTGTGCCACCTAGTTATGCCACTTCGGTGACAGAAGCCATACTTAGCAAATACTCAGTTCAGACTCACATCAATTCTTAGTATCGTTTTAAGATGAAACTCGTCACGAAATCTTTAAGCAGGTTGTCGACATCGGATGGAATAATTATGTTGCCCCTTAATCAAGACACAAAACTAATTTTTAACGTGGAAAACCGTGTGTGTAAGGAGCAGAATCGAACTCGGATTCGCGGATTGTGAGTCTATGGACCAACCGCGAAGCCAGCCGACGCAACGCGACGCCTCGACTTTATTAGTCACGCCGCCGCCGCCGCGTCGGTGTCTTCAGTAAAATACGAGATCTCACCGGAATCATATTTGTCAACCGACCACAAACTCGATTGAAAATTTGTTTCGGCCTCGTTAATACCGCGAGGTCAGATAAAATCCGTTTAAGATTTATCATATGGATTGACAGGATGATGCCAAGATAACGTCTGCGAATTTCATTGCGTTTTAGTTACTTAAATATAAATTTTATAATTCATCGTTATAATTAAGTCACGCATTTATGTTAACAGCAGTTAATTATTTTTAATATTTTTTACTGTTATTAATTTCAATTTTCTTTAATTGAAATTAAATATTTAAATGATCTTAAAGATACACCTACATATGATGTTTAACTGCTGTTACACATCTGTTACACAACCGCTAAACACAAGGTGTCTTGTATTCCGAATGGAAAAGGGAAGAATCCGTCAGGATCTCCTTTATCGAGAAAGTTATGAGAAAACTTTTAATTTAGATATCTATAATTTACAGATTCTTTCAGCTAGAAGATTCTTCTAGCATTAAAAAGAATCTTAAATCTAGTGCAATCTTAAATCTAATTTACCTTGCATTTTGTAGTTACATGATAGTTTTCTATTTTTTAGAGTATCCTTTTGAGGCCATATATCAGGAAAATTCTCTAACATTAAGAGGATATCACAAAAGAATAAAATATTTTTTTTTTATGCAAAAGACTCCAACTCGATTTCCGTAGATACATCTTCTTATAGAACTCCTTAATGTTTTCTTCTTACGAATAGCACGTCCATCTCGTGGTGAAGCCGCATACTTATCTCTTAACGTATCATTTTATTTTAAAAGGCTATTCAAGTTACTGTAGTGGAATTTCCTATAAAGAAATGTACTCGTGATCATAACTTTACTTTTTTATAAATGAATACGTATTATAAATACAAATATATACTTCATGTAAGATTTTTCGCTTAGAAGAAATGTTAAGAGAATTTCGCCGCTTGTCAGTAGAACATATTTTTGTTTTTTAGTAGACGTTAGATGGTATGCGCAATTTGATGTGCGATCGGGTATTTGACGACCCTTGTTCCTCGAAATCAATCAAGGATGTGGCAGGGATTTTACGATCTGCCCTGGCTAGGGTTGGTCGCCCGAAACTGCGAAAGGGATTTCTGGGATTAAGCCGAAAGTAACGGTCGATTGCTCGAAATGAAAACGCCGAACTGATTGTGGAAAAATGATATTTTGATCATAAATCTCGAACCTTTCATCGTATCGCCAAGAAGTGGTTCTGCAACCGAAAAAGATAATGAATTGCCACAGATACCTATAACTGCAGTTGAGGAAATGATCTAATTTTATTTTTTCCCGCTTGGTCGCGATATGGCGATACACAAAGAATTATATTGATTTTCGTTTAAAATAAAGTAATTATTTAATATATAGTAAATAAAACTAATTTTTATATTATGCGCAAAGTTGTAAAAAGTTATAATGTTAAAAACTGTTGCCTTTTTGTCTCATTGAAAATGTAATGAATTAAATTAATAGAAATATGTAAATGCCATAAGTAATTCAGCTAAATTGGAGCTCGTTATAATTAAAACTGTAATTAAAGTTATAATCACAAGTAAGCGCGAGGTAATTTAACAATCGAACGATATTTTCAATTAAATTGCGCAAGGATCAAACTAATATTATTAACAATTCCAATTTTATTTTATATTTGTAATTTGCGTGCAAATACCTCTACAAATGCGTTTAATAAAAGTACGAAATTATTCGATGTTTCGATCTGAAATGAAGAAATATGAAGTGATTGTCGAATTACAAAAATTGTTTCACTATTTTTAGTGATCGCACATTCCCCGAAAAAATTCAAAGACACTGTCGTTGAATTGTGGTCTCTGCAACTGCATTAAGTTTGCTACAAAACTATAAATTTGAGTGTTAATATTGAAGAATGCAACAATAATAATTTGCCGATTGCGAATTATCTCGATATAATTTTTCTTTTTAGGAGTTCTTTTTAAAAAATTTCGACGTGGCGACGCCTATATGGAAACAATATACATTAACTTATAATTCTCTACTCGTATTGGATCCTTTTGTTATTGATACAGATCGTTTACAGTTATAATTTGTATAATTAACATGTTCTTTGAACTCAATACCCTTTTGATACCAAACTCGTTAATTTAGACAGGTTGTAACTTATAAGTAATAAGAAATTAATATACTGTCACGTATCCGTAAAAACAAATTCATATTGTATGTATTTAACAAAAAAAAAGTAATATTTTTTTCTAATTTGCATGTCTTCAATCAGTAAAAAATAAAAAAGACCTTTTCATATATTTTTTAAGTATTGAAAATATTGACTATCCTTTAGTTTAGACACGCATTTTGAATACCTTTAAGAAGAAAATTTGTGTTGTTTGTGCATGTAAACTATTAGTCTGTGGACTACAATTTCGCAAGATTGCAAAACTTTTATATCAAGCAAATGCTACGATAATGATCTACGTCATATTGGAGTAAGAAATGATAAAGATCTCGATTTAACAATTTTTTTCGTTCTTGGCATGAACTCTACCTCACAGACACGTATTAATGCGTATATTTTAATCTTGGAAAAAGATTTTCAAATCTGTAAAAGAGAAAAAAATAAGTAATTTTTATATAAAAATTATTGTGTTTAGTCGGTAATAATATGAACGACTTTAAGATCTCCTTAACACTAATCGATAGATGCAATCATCATGATTGCCAACGAGAGAACTAAATACAGTTTGTGTCAGAAGAGAAAGAGAGAGGAGATGTCCTGATACTTTAAATTACTGTTGCACTTCTGCGAGTTGATCGTCGATTAATTTAACCAGAAGTTGATGAAAGAGCCTTTAGGCGCAACGGCACAACAGTGCAACAATCCAACAATATACATGAATTCGATTGAATTTTAAACTACTAAAAAAAAGTACAGACATTATAATTTTGGCCTCTATATTTTCATTAAACAAATAGGATATTTTCATTAAACAAATACTTTTTAAGTCGCTTTCGTATCGTCTTACAAATCTTAAAAGTAGTATATACATTTTCTCTTCTTGTATCTTAAAATACGTTTAAAATAATCCCGGAAAAAAATGGTCCATGTATGATTGTACATGATTATACATGGACATACAAAATCATGCATTAAATAATGTACAATTTTGAATGCTAATATATAATCATGAATGGTTGAGTGCATATATTCGTGCATGGTTATATACATTCACGTACGATTTGTATGGAACCATACATGAACGTATGTGAGTTATCATACGATTATCCATGATCATATATATACAGTAATTCCATACAGTAGCATACTGAACTCTTTGCACGATACATGATTATTTACATAGTACATAGTCGTATACATTCATACATAAATTTTTAGCATCTGGCTATTCATATCTACTAATAAAGCCATTTTGCAATTATTGCAAGTTTTCTTCGTTGAAATAGGACTATTATTAATATTGACATTCTAATGTCAAATTTTATGTTACAAGGTATATGTCCGTCGGCATATGTTCCTTTTATCCAATTGCAATAAAAAATTTTTTTACAGAGATTATTTTCTATAATGATTTTTTAATATTTGGTATTGTTCTGGGGAGATCGGCAAACAAATACGTGAAATTTTTTTTTTCACCAAGTATAAGGGCCACCCTAATAATCATGTTTGACCAAGTACGGGTGAATATGGCGCACATAACCATGTGTGATCGTATATGATCGTACATGACTATGTCAGGTCAAAACTCTGGTGGAAAAATTTTACTAAAATTTCGTTGAAAATAATACAATTTCAGCGAAATTGCTGAAAATTTGCTGAAATTTCACATTTTCAATTAACATACTGAAAAATCGCTGAAAATAAACTGAAATTTTTATGAACTGCTAAAATTTTGCTGAAAATGAATTTTTTAGTTAAAAGTCTCTGAAGTTAAACTAAAATTTTTCTGAAATGCTAAAATTTTGCTGAAATTTCGCTGAAAAATGTTTCAACATGGTTTCAGTGAAATTTTTCCACCAAGGATAACTTATACATGATCACATATGGCCATTTTTTTTCCGGGAGATTACACATATATTATTTATTCATATTTAAAGCGAGAAATCTTTGCTATATAATAATTAATGATAGAATAAATGATTAAGTAAACATATTATGCTTTAAAATAATTAAGTAAACAGACAAAATTACATTATTTAACTGTTACATTAATTGTAGTATTTCTTTTTCTCCTTTTTATCAGATCTTAATTATTGCAAAAATTATGTAAATAAATTCGCATTCCAGACTCCGGAGAGAGCAGCGTCATTTCCCCAGGTTTGCCGGAACGTTACAGTCCGTTGGGAGCGACGGGCTCTACGTCAAGCCACGATCCTTATGCCTTTGCCGACGGACTTTCCTCTAGCCCGATCACCATACCTAACTGCGCTTGGGAACGGTCATCCGCACTTGCTGGGTCAGGTACAGCATCAGCAACAGCAACAACAACAGCAGCCGCAGCAACCACAGCATGGCAGCAAACCACCACGTAGTCTCGGCCTTATATGCGTGGTCTGCGGCGACACTAGTTCCGGTAAACATTATGGAATACTCGCCTGCAATGGCTGCAGTGGTTTTTTCAAGAGGAGTGTTAGACGAAAGCTGATATACAGGTGAGTCGAAGTTTTAATGATCGAAATGTATTATTTATATTCGTATGAATTGAACATATAGGATGAACTATTCGAGATTTTTTAGAGAAGAAGGTGGTAGGAATTAGTAGTATTATGTCAGTGTAGATGTCATGGATCTGCTTAATATCTCCGCTGTTAGGTAGCGAATTCTAGTGGTTATTTATGAAATTATTTGTTCACTAATTGTAAGTCGTAGTTATACCATCCCAAGTAGCACATATAATCGCTTTTTTAGCGCTTTGGAAGCGCTGCTGTGCTATTTCTATTTGGGATGACGTTATTATATCAATACACAATAGTCAGTATTTATTACAAAGCATTTTTACTTTCAAACGTTTCGAAACGTTTTTAAGGTATACTTTAGCATTTATATAATTACACATGCTACCTCATCTTTCTTAAACTTAAGCGTATATTGTTACACAAATATAGTATGTATATTTTAATATGTTGTTTAACATAATTTTTTTTTGTATACATTTTGAATTATGCAAAGTTAAAGCGATAGTATGGCATTTTGATAATGTGGTCTCCTAAATGTACTGATTGCTGCTCCTGTTTCGAGGTCTTCGTATCAAAATAATTTATTCGAGTAGAACTTTAATGAGTAGAATTTTAATCAAACAAGTTGGGCATAAATGCGATTTCATTTTCTACGATACGGGAGATTATATGATACACAAGAGCATTGAAGAGATAACAATATTCGTTATGGTCAAATATCCTTCGCGCACAATAGTTCATCGACGCACTCGTTAACAGTCTGGCAACTCAATCCGTGATGGGAAAAGAATTGTATATCGCGGATATCATCGGTTTCGGCTTTCGAGGACCGTCGGGCACGACGCCACTTTACATTTCAGTCACGAAGCCGAGCTTGTTCATTTTTCAAAAAGCACGCACGCACGGAGGGTTAATAGCTAGCATATCGAGTGTTGCATGCGCCTGCGTATTCCTAACATGGAGTGGGACAAGCGAGACCGAAGCGGCCGATTCCGACTCGCGCATGAGAAGGATCCGATGGAGATGGATGGTTGTTCCCAAGGGACAGTAATAGTTCCTCGTACGAGCGCCACCGGCTTTACCACCGGTTCAGATATCCGGATATAACTCGTCGCCGATGCGGCAACGGCGGCCGTAGCGGCGGTTCTTCGGTTAGCTCTCGATGGGCCCCCGGCGGATTCGACATTACACCATTCTACGTTGTGGCTCAGCATTATAGGATGAGTTTACTCAACTTTGCCCACATGGCTCAATGTTTAACTCGATATTAACCCCGGATGATTCGCGCTACCGATAATTTCTCTTTAATTTCGACATTGTATATGATTCTCTTTTCTTCCTCCCTTCCTTTTTCTCTTCCTCTCTCTCCTTCTCGATCCTCCTCCTTTCTTTTCCTCTCCTTCTCTTCCTCCCCTTCTCTCTCTTTTTCCTTTCTCTTTTTCTTACTCTTCCTCTCCACCCTCTATTTCCCAAACAAACTAACATTTCTTGCCATTTTGACGTCAAAGTAACAAAAATGTCTACTTGCGTTTGTTGAATCGTAATGTGCATATTTGACTGACGAATATATTAAGGGAATGAAACACATTATAAAATAATGAAAGAAATAATGTTTAGTGAAAAACAAATATATTAACTTCAGCTCTCAAAATTTTCATTTTTGAACACAAAGGAAGATACAGCCTTTGTTGTTGGAGTAGCAACATTTGCGTGCGAGAGTTCAAGTACAAGCCCCGCGGGAGCCTGTGCGAACATTTCGTTCTTGTCCACGCACGATGCACTTAATTGCATCTAACCGATCCATGAGGATTTGCGCTAATCCGACGATTGTGACGGCGCGCCATCACGGCGAATCGCGTCGGGACGCATCTGTCGTATTTCGGTCCCCTCTCTGCGGATAATTGGTTATCTGTGCGGAGGCTCTTCAGTCTTTACTGCGTTATAACTGCCCGACGAAAGCGAAACGGCATCCTCTTGTCCTTCTATCTTTGCAAACGACAAAATTAAACGTCGCACAGTAGTGTAAAATTTGAAAAAGCTGACCAAAAATCAAAGTTCGATTTCAATTTTTCAATTACATGATATATTATCCCAAACATCTATTACATGATATATAATAATTGTTTGTTTATTAAACAAATAATTTAAAAGTACTAGCACAGAGTTTAACAATTTAACACACGTTTTGTGTACACAATATTATGTTTGTTGAAACAACATTAATAAGGTACAGATTTTCATGTACATAATGCACTAATAACGTTCTAGTTTATTCCATAAATTGCTTGGGTGAAAAGAAAAATTTCACAAGAAAAATTTCCAATTTGATATGTATTTGAAAAAATTGGTTTTATTTAACACACAGTTTGAATCGAATAACATTTCGTTTTTTGAAAATTCAATATTACCAAGCGATTGACTCAATTTAAGAATACTGCAGTAGATGTTAGTAGAGATTTCACCTTTGCAATACTTGTTCGGTATCGTGCCGTTTAGCGGTATTTGTCAAAGCGTTTGCGCAGCCGGCCGCTTAGTTACGCCGCACCTAACAGCGCGAACTTTATGCCCTGTTGCTAAACATTTTTAAAGGCTCACTGTTTAAGAACTATTGATATTACTAAACTATTAACATTTTGCTATTGACATTTTCAACTCACTTTTTCATGAGGAATATGTACATGCCGGCTCTTGCGGGTGGTCTGGGTCACCCTATATCCCTTCAAGGTCACCACGAATCAAAATGATCCGAGTGTCATATTTTTCACGCTAGATTTTACGCGGGGTCTACAATAGAAGTCATAAGGTCTTAAGTCGTAGAAAATTAACAATTACAGTTGAATATGAGAAGAATAATTGATTGGTCAATTTTCTACGACTTAACCTCATTATTCTGTTCATAAAAGTATTAAAGTACAATTATCAAAAAATTATTAATTTAGGAGTTATTTAACATTTTATGTCAATATGTGCCAGAATAAAATATAAAATATCTCGTAAACTATTGCATCGATTTTTCGATGCTATTATCTTAATACTTTTATATGAAGAATAATTAGGGAAATCATATGTAAAAAAATTTATATAATTCCACTTAAAAAAATTAAGTTGATCTTCAAATCTTCTAAGCGCCTCCACTTGGGAAAAAATTATTATCGCCTTATACTAGCTCCCTTCATATCGTGCAATTTTGGTTGTAAATGTTTCTCTAGACCTTATATATTCGAAAATATTTCAGGTGGTAATAGTTATTGAACATCTTGTATATAATATTTTATATATTTATGTAACATTTATTGCGAATAATTAAACCATTTTTTAATGAATTAAAAAATTATTGAATTGATATTTTGAATGTTATTTTAAGAATTGTCTATATTAATTAGAAAATAATATTGATTGTCAAACACAATAACTATCATAACAATTCAAATTAAAAATTAAGACCGTTGCGTTCATTATTTATTTAATTATTATTAAAAAGTTGTTCACAAAAGAAATTTTATTGAATTAACGTAATCTCTTAACGTGAATGTAATAACAATGAAAATAAAGAATCCTGTAACATGCGATTATTTTGAGATTATTTAATAACAGTTTGTAAAAATTTATATAATAAATAAATACAGTGTTCAATCATACGTACTTAACATTCAATGAAATGTGGATTTACTTTCCTTATCATATCATTAATGTGAAGGGATAATATTGCATACTTAATGCGCTGTTTATTTGACAATTATAATACACGTAACTGTCATGGCTGCTCGTGAATAATTTGAATATTCGCGTCATCTCGCTCATACGCTCATACTTGTAATTTCTCATGAATTCTCAGAGTATTTAAAGTACTATGAGTAAATACAAATCATAAGTACAAAGTGCAGTTACTGTGCCAGGCATTTTGTTATCTGGGTAAGTGATAGCAAAATTAATATACCTCATGTATACATTGATAAAGTCGTAACACTGATGCAGCTGTTGTAGCAATTGGTACTTGTGCAGCTTTAATTTACTTTTTGTACTCTATAATTTGACGTGCTATTCTCTCTGTACGCGATGGATCCAAATCTATGTATAAAATGAGTGAAATTCCTTTTGAATATCACGAACGAAGCATAATTTAAATGATATATTTACTCTCTCTTTTCTAATAAAGCTAATAAATAATTACTGCTCGTTCGTGGCTACTTTTATTTATTATTGTTATATATTACAAGATAGTCATGTTTATAGAATATAAATACTAATAAAAAATGCGTTTCAGAAACGCATTTTAGTGCCTCATTTTGATCTTGTTGAAGAGTTCAGTGAATTACAAACAAAATAATTATTTGTTCCTTTACTTTATCATATGAGGTAAAAGGGACAGAATTAAACATTGCGTACCCTTTTTTTACGTAAACACAAACAATAAAAAAAATTTGACCTAAAGTGGAAGGATCACAACCAAGAAAAAAAGATATATTATGAGAAAACTTTTAAAATTTTTTCTCACGTCACTTATTTAGTTTCTAGTATCTTCAAGTTTTAATTTAACGCTAGCAAAAAATTCAGATATTCATACAGATCAAAGCTATCAAATGTTTTTTTGCTTATTGTCCTTTTTGTTAGTTATAAAACACAAATAAAACAGAAAATGTTATAATTCAAGATGAAATTTATGAGAATAAATCAAATTAAGAAAAAAAATTCTATTTTCAGTCAGAGCGGATCTTAATAGCTTATAAATATTTTGCGGTTCGCGATATAAATTTATATATACATATTCTGCAAACCGTGCATTGAAATCTTTTACAATCTCGAAGCGCAATCAAGAACAGAATTAGAATAATAACATCACACATTAAATTGGCGAGCCAATTTAATAATTCTTTATGCTAATATGCATATTATTTTAATGAGGATATTAATAATTTGATATTAATAAATAATAAGATCTAAGGCCTGATTGTATCAACGTTACTTTGACTTTAAGC